GGGTAATTTTAACTATTTGTAATTATTTTAATTAACTGGAACGTGGCTATCTTGGACAAAGTGAAGTTTTGTGTGTTGGTGATTTCTTTTTCTACTATAAATGCCTCTGATGATGGCTCCGTGGTGAGCCGAAACATGTAAGGCAGGTGGTGACGAGGTGGAAAACTTAAAAAAGTGTCACATTTGACGGAAGGAACTTGATTGTTTGTTAATTGGTTAGTGTGACGGACCAGAATGAAAGACCTTAAAAAAAAAGAAAAACTTCATCAGTCACACTGGACGGAATTTTTTTATCTTTTATAATTAAGTGAATATATTTAGTTGGTATTGTGTTAGATGATAAATCAGTAATGTGTAGATGGTGAATTCATTTACCGGGTAAGCTGGAGAGCCATCAGGGGGTTCTGACTGCACAGATCGAGAAACCAGTTAAGACACTGTAAAGCCCGTGGTGAGGCGCGCTGTCCAGTTTCGTTTCTGGGGACACCTGGGCATTCAACAAATGGTAAGCCACGCAAATATACAGTACGACACCCTACACAGTGCGGCTCACGGCTTCCAACACAAATATACACCTATCCTTTCGACAGAATGATGTTGTTCCTAACAAAATAGACACATCTTCACTTATAATCAGGAGAAACAGGTTCGTTTCTCTGCTGGTGCACCATTATGTATTTGTCTTCTGGTGCTTTTTGTCAGCCTTCCAAGTGCTGGAATAGTAAGGATCTTCAAATAGGCCTCAACTGCTTTCTCTCTAGTACACATTCATTTCTCTCTACAGTACCCTTCATACAGCTTGTAAAAATAGCCTATAAATTAAAATATACAGACGCCTATAAACAGAAAGCACAATCTTCATATTACACCACCTGAAAGGTTGGGACATCCTGTTGGGCAAGCGTTCAATTCTGCTAGCGGCATGACACCAGCATGTTCAGAAACATGTGGTTCTGAAACCTTATCACCGGTCAACAATTTGTTGCTGTTGAGTGAAGCGAAGTGAATGTGACCAAATTACCACCTCGCCCGTGAACTCCTTGCTCGAATGGTAACGACGGTAACGACACTTTGCTGTAGCAGATGACCTAAAGATGGCAGCACGGGTTCGCTGCTAGTGTTGACTGTGCCCACAAGGGTGCAACACATGTCACGGATGGAGGCCGAAGAAGGACGCAGTTCTCAGTATTCTGAAGGTTGTACCTTTCCGAAGATGGAGGTGGTGGAGGAGCTGGAGGACGTCGAGTGTAAGGTGGTGCTGGTCGGTGACTCCCGCTGCGGCAAGACGGCCCTTGTGCAGCGCTTCGTGGGCGACAATTTCATCGAGGTAAGGACACGCCCATCAATGTGAGGTTAGGTTCGTTAGAGCTTTTTCTTGTGTACTGAAATCATCTCCCCCTCAGTTTGAAATATAAATCACCCTTTATGCTGAAGACGGACGTCAGAAGTACTACAGCAATTACCAGTAGCTGTGAAATGTGCCATGGTAGGTGACAGTAGTTGTTAACCGAGTGACAGGAAGTTCATCAGCTTTGAATTTGCAGTAGTACATAGTAACATTGATTATGAATCGTAGCAGTTGTCAGATGTGGCATAGCATTCAATAATAGCTATTAAATGTGCCATAGTATATATGAATAATTATGAACTATGCAAAAGCAGATCCCAAGGATTGTGAAATGTACAATTAGTATATACAGATGTCTTTGAAATGTGCCAGAGTTAGTGTCATAAGAAGTATGCCAAAGTAGACATAAGTAGTTATGGAATATGACTGCATGTACCATCGGCTACAAAATTTAACATTTCAGGCGTCAAAAGCCTAGAAATATATCACATTATGCCTTAGTTGTTATGAAGTACACTTTACACCAGCAGCTGTGAGATGTGGGTGTATGCATTGGTAACTATGAACATGCTATTGCAGGTATCAAAAGCTCTGGAATATAGTTATGAACTATGCCAGAGCAGATGCTTATGGTTCTGAAATGTGTATGTGACAATGAAATATGTCACTGCAGGTGCAACAGTATGCACCAGTAGCTGTAAAATCAGCCAAAATAGACACCAGTAGTTGTGAAATGTGATTTTACATATTATTGGCTATGAAATTCATTATTATAATTAAATTACTAATAGCTATGAAATTTGGATTAGTAGGCACTACTGCTTATGAAACAGACCATAGCAAAAGTAAAAAAAAAAAAAAAAAAAAAATAAAGCTTTCCGTATAACAGGCCGTGAAGGCCCATGGGGTTGTGAGATGTTGAGGGTCCCACATTATCTAGACAATCGGCTCAAAGATGGCGGAAAGGTTGTCAGCCTTACGCACCAGTCGCGCTTTACTCCCCAGGAAATTTATTTAATTAATTCCTGGTATTTATTTCTCTTAGAACCTGAGTTGACCCCAGGGCCATAGTGCTGCTGAAGGATTAGGTCAATTGAAAAAATCCAATGACCTCATCGGGACTTGAACCCACGACCTGTAGCATAGTGTCTCAACCAACTATGCTAATAAACCATAGTAAAGTAAAGTAAAGTAAAGCTATCCCTGTAACAGGCCGTGAAGGCCCATGGGGTTGTGAGATGTTGAGGGTCCCACATTATCTAGACAATCGGCTCAAAGATGGCGGAAAGGTTGTCAGCCTTACGCACCAGTCGCGCTTTACTCCCCAGGAAATTTATTTAATTAATTCCTGGTATTTATTTCTCTTAGAACCTGAGTTGACCCCAGGGCCATAGTGCTGCTGAAGGATTAGGTCAATTGAAAAAATCCAATGACCTCATCGGGACTTGAACCCACGACCTGTAGCATAGTGTCTCAACCAACTATGCTAATAAACCATAGTAAAGTAAAGTAAAGTAAAGCTATCCCTGTAACAGGCCGTGAAGGCCCATAGGGTCGTGAGACGAGGGTCCCACATTATCTAGACAATCGGCTCAAAGATGGTGATAAGGTTGTCAGCCTTACACGCTGGCCGCAGACACCAATATCAGTGAACAGAACATTGGTTTTGCAAAATATTGGCTGTGATATGTGCCATTCGGGTTACCAAAAGGTATACATTTTCATTAGGAGGCACAATTGCATGCGAAATAGTGGACTCCAGCAGCTGTGAACTATGGTTTTGCAGACCGTTGGCTATTCTAATTAACAATAGCTATGAAATTTTCGTTAATATATGTCATTGCTCATGAAATGAACCTTAGTAGGCACCAACAGTTATGAAATGTGGTTTACAGGCCTTTGGCAATAAAATATGCTATCCTAGAGTTAACACAGGCTGTTAACGGGAGAAGATAGACATTATCAAGCATTTTGCATGACTCAAATGAGAAATAATGCAATAGTGATCTGTGTGACTAATTCTTGATTAGGTGGTGATAACAAGACAAGATTATTTATAGAAAGGCATATTTGAAATGTTGAAATTCACAGGAGAATATAAGTTGCAACTGGCAACTGCAAAACAAAGGTTTTGGCATTCTAAGATATATCAGTGATATGAGCCAAAGTTTTCTGAATGCTGAAGCAACTGAACAAGTTATACTTTGGATACAATGTAAATGTTTGCTGTCTTAATGGTTCTAACATGGAATTAAGCAGTTTCTGATATGGGTGCACAGTTACAAGAAATCTAGGTGAAAGGGGGAATAACAGGATCGTAAAATAATGGCCCTAACTAGATTGTTGTATGGATCAGAGTGCTATGCCCTAGGAATGTTGAACTGAGACAGTTGAGATGAATTTGCTAAGGGCTCTTGCAGGTTTCAGGACAACATACGATACCAGGAACCAAAGAATCAGACAAATATTAAATATATTTGCTGCAGCCATTGTCTTTGGTACGGGATTTTCTGTGGTGGCTTAATGATGGGTTAGATAGGTAGAATGTTGATTGGTTTCTGACAGGAATTTATATCACTTCTTCTAACATACGACTTGAAGTTAACTGAAGGGGTTTGATGGGTGCTAGTAGGGATTCCCAGGTGGAATAACCCTATGAGCTTTTGGGGAATTGACCCTCCTTAACAGCTGGGTTTGATATGGCTTAGCTCAGGTAGATACATACATACATACATAGCTGTAACTTAGGTGATCAGGAGTTGCGCAAAGTTTCTGGTCCATCTGCACATTAACAACACGGGCAGTATAACTGTGCTGGAGGTTTATTAACAGGGTTACAATTCAAATAGACAAGTTCACTCTTGTAATTACGAAGGAAGCGGCATGTAATTACCACATATTCTATGTAACTTTGTCAGAGATGTATTTGTAAGTTTATGTAACCAACCAGACTAGAACTTCTGTAAATTGAAGTCGAAGTACACTGTTAGCTATTGTCCTAAATGATTATGAATGCTGATAGTTCAGGATTTAGTTGGAGTGGCACTGGGAACTTTGGATTCACAAAGTGGATTTTGCAAAGTGTTTTCAGCCAGCCTGTTCTGAAAAAACTTCCGTCCTTATTTTAAAATTATGGACGTGTCTTTTCAGGTTCTGATGGATTCTTTTGAACAGCTTAGAAGGTTAACAAAGTCTGCATTCTTCAGTCATAAAAGATCAAGTAATTCTAGCCTTAAAAATTCCCTAACTGTTTTCACACATAGGATATATAAGAAACGTGATAACATCTTTTCCGGGAACTCCAACTGAAGAATTTATGCCCTCTGCCAACGTCAGATATTGAATTTTTCTGAGGACCCTACATGTCTTAAAAAATCTCCAATTTTCCATTTAAGTGGAGCCTGCTTCGTGTATTACATCTGGGCGCAACGCTTGTCATAAGGAAGAATGGGATTAACTTCCTGACAAATTTAACTGCTTGCTGTCATAATTTAATTAAATACAAAAACTCTAATGAGATAAAATTAATTAGAACCTCTGATTTGGACTGCTACACATCCTAGACAAAGTGCTTGATTGCGAAATAAATAAGTTCCACCAACGGGGAAGAATGGAAGAAAGAAGATCAGTCAAACGATTTTATCTCTCCTTCGACGCTTATAGTGTGGCCTTCTGATACGTCTTCCCAAGTACACAGAAACTAAATGAAATAAAAAAAGACAACCGTCTTTCTTTTTTTTGTGGGGGGGGGGGGGGGGCTCTTT